CAGACACCAAACCAAAACACAGAAGACCACAACTCATCTCTCCTAGACATAGTCTCAAGCAAATGTCTGAAATGAATCCATGTGATCATCATCAATCAATCAAATAATTCTAAGCAAGGGACTCTGCTCACAGGACCACTCGCTATAGAGACTTTTTTTTTCCCTCTCACTACATACCATCCTCATGGCTGAAAAACAAAACAAAAATAATGAATGCTCCGTATAAACAGAATCACCATTGTAATCTCCAACCCCAGTGCAAACAGAAACCACAATTCTGTATTGCACGTGCCATCACAAGCTAACTACTGGCAAACACTGGGCACTTGCTGTAAACCACAGCAGTTCAGAAAAGCCCTCTGTGCAGGAGGAGATCCAACAGCCCCTGAGCCTTTTAAAGACCAGATTTAAGGAATGGTGTGTAAATAAATAATGCAACACTTTACATCAAATGGAGGTCACTGTACAACAGTGACATTTCAAGTCATCGTCCAGTGTGTCTAATTTCTGGCCCACTCAAAGGGTGCTGACTGAAAGGCTTGTCGGCTGTCATCTGCACGTCAGTCACAACCCTTCAGGGAGCTGTGTTCCATTCATGCTTACACACCTTTCACTTGAGCTGCTATTCTTTCTGTGCAGATTTGAATATGCCATTGTGCACTAACATTACTATTCATCTCTCTTTTTTTGCCTTCTTTACGCAGTTGCATTTTGTGTATAAATTGGACAGATTCTTGCAAGGTATGTCATTAGATAGGAAAATGGGAATTGAGAAAGGTCAGGGCATGACCTATTCATGATCCTGCCCTTGGCAGGAAGCTATTCAGATACGTGGAAAAACTCATCTCATAGTTACCAGCACCAAGATAGGAGGCATCCAGATAGAAAACACAGTATCATAGTATGCAGTGAAAGAGCAAAGTTTGTTCTTCAGCCTTTCCCTTTGTTTCTGTCTGTTCTTCCTTTTTCTTTTTTCTATCCCTTTATACCAATCTTTATTTTTAATAACCCTTTTCTGCCCTCCTTCCTCTATACCCATTCTTTGCTCTCTGGAGCTAATTAACACATGAACAGACTCTGCTCTTTCCTTTCAGACAAGGCAGAATCAGCAATTATTTTGTCTTTGCCTTCCTCTCCATCCCAGCTTCACAGTTTTGTGGGTGAAGAACAACTACTACAAGTCAAGCGCCTGTCTCCCATCTGTCTCACAGTTGCTCAACAGCAGCAGGAGCACAACCTGCACTATGACACATTTCTATACCATATCCCTTGTTTTTATGACTGTTGCTTGCAAGAAATGCTTTGATGCATTCTTTGGTCCTGGCAGGGCCTGTACTGTTTCCAGAGGTTACAAGATCAACGTAATGCTGATTCAAAGTCTATTCCTTTGGGAATGGTTTGTAAAGGAGAAGAGTGAGAAGGAAAGGAAACTTGACCTCCGAGCAACATATATGCAGCTATCAGTCATACAGCAATAGAGGATTATTTATGCATTTTCATTAGATGACACTGAACATAAAAGCTTAAGAGCTGGCAACTGATGCAAATACAAGACAGAAAACTGAACATCATTACACTATGTATAATTCACATGAATTTCAGACTCTGTTTAAAGTCTTCTGACAACAAACAACTCTTCAGACAAGAGTTGAAAATGGCTCCTGAAGATACAGCTGCAGATCTTTGCGCAGTGATAATTCGCACTTTCTAAGCCCTCGAAGACTTCTCAAAATTACTGCTGGTTTCCTATTTTACTGGAACTTAAGAGATTGTTAGGCAAGACACACACCACTGGAATGTCTGATTCCTTTTAGTAAGAGACACAGAGACAGTTATGCATTTCATGCACTTCTAGTAGACTGATAACTGCAAAAGTCTGCTGCTGTTCTTATGCATCTATCACGACGATGTGCAGAACAGCTGTGTTTAGCAGAGATAGTTGAATAATTAATCTAAAAATTATTCAAAATGGTTCTTCCTAGCATGAAATTATTTGTCTCTTTATTGTTGGGAGTTGATGTTTTCTATTTTTCCCCAGAATAGATTCATCCTAACGATCGTTCTTGACTTGATTTAAAATTCTTTTTCCGCACTACCTTTGCTCCAAGAAGACATCCTGAAAATGCTTTTTAGCCACAGATTTACTATCATATAGAAGTACAAAGTGTAGGAGCTCAGCTACCTCAAATCTCAGCTACCTGATCATTTCCCTGGAGACAGACACACACATACTTCTTCAGTCCACAGCTGTCTTTGAACATGGGTATTTCATGGAGTTCAATATTAATGGCTTACAACATTGCCACCTTCCACTTCATCGAGCAGAAGCCTGATCTATCAGCACACCCCTTGGAAATAGTCTAGCTTCATGTCTTACTAGGTTTCAACCCACAGTTTGCAACAACCTGGAGGCACAACATACAGTTCAGCTGCCAGGCATTTTTATTATATGCCTCAATTACTGAACTTCACTGCGCTCCTGAAAACTAAGCATACAATACAAAGGCAGATGGATTCAGGATAATACACTTCTGCCACAGCAAAATGCCCCTTAAATCCTCTTTCTAAAAACTAGTTGTTTGGGGTGGGTTTTTTGTTTGTTTGTTTTTTTTTTAATTATTGCTTTTTACTGTAAAGAAATATAAAAAAATTGCTTTTTATTTGAAATGTTTGATTTCCACAAAAAGAAATGACATCTAAAACAGTAAGAAACTGTTGAAAGAAAAGATTCTGGTTCAAAAATCTCACTATTCTAGTAGTCAGAACTGGACTACACACAGACAGACGTATGAAATATTTAATTTATACTTGGAACTATTGCATTGGAATTTAAGACTTTCAGAAGTTTCTCTGTTATACTACTTCTATATGAAGCTTCTCCACTGGAAAAAGAAGAAAAAACCTAACCTACTTATAATGACTGTATAAGCAGGGATATGCAATTCCTCAGAACATTGATCATTAGTAGAAAACAGCTCAATAGCTGTGTTAGGTCTAGTACCCTATTCATCAGCACTGGCATTCTAAGAAGACAAGCTTGATCAATATCTACCATTTGAGTTCATGGCCAGATTACTGCAAAATTTATTATGGGTAAAACTCAAGGCAGTGGTTTTATGAAACACATTCAGGCTCATTATCAACCTGCATTTAAGTGGTGAACAAACAAATCTAGCAGCTATTCTGGTTACACCAGAGAAATATTTTCCCATCTCACTTTTGCCCTTGCACATCAGGTAGCATCAACCTGTAATCTAACTTGTGATTTCATCTCTAAAACTAAATCTTTTCTATAATGTGATCCAATATGTTAAACAGAGATTTTTAAGAGCAGGTTTTAATGAGTTTTATTTTATCTCCATTTAGATTTATAACTGTCAAATTACGGGATTGTGAGATAATTAAAACTGTTTTTTAAGTGTTGAAAGTGTTTTAATAGATTTTTAATGACTGTAGCTTAGTCAGAAGTGGCATTAAGAAAAAAAAAATATGTAAGTACATAGACTTAAATTTCATTATGCACGTTTATCCCCCAAAGCTTAAGGGATAAAAATCAAGATAGATTAATCAGAAATAAGTTATTTTAAACATAGTAGTCACGATGGTTTGCAGAAATGCCACACTTTCTTCCCTAAAGTCCTGTGTCCTCTTATCCTGACTCTCGAAAAGAAAGCATGCATATTTTATTACAGAATGAATAAACTTGAAAAAATGTTATTGTAATCAACCATGTACATACACACATTCTTTTATTTCACGTGCAGATGTATATGAATCATCTGTCAGAAAAGGAAATAGTTACATTCATCCACTGTTGTATTAGATAACCTTAATCATACTTCTGTACCATTACAAATAGAATAAGGGAAAGCTTACTTGTCTATTAACTATGAACTTCCAGTGTTGTTTGAGTTGTTCCATTGGTGAATCCTACAATTCAGATATAACAAACCTATTTGTGGCAATGCTTATTTTGCCCAGTGATGGGCAAAATATATGCCTGACCAAAATACAGAAGCACAAAGTGGATTTACCGAACTTAAACAGTGTGCCACAAGTGTAGGACAAGTGATCATGAAATAAGTGGTACTTAAGTAGTTACAAAATCTCTATAGAACTATATGGAATATAACCCCCAAAAGAAAATTAAAAAAAAAAAAGCTTACACAAGGAATCAATAAACTACATAGAGAAATAAAATCTATAACATAGTCGTAAGGAAACGTAAGTATTTTCATCAATGTTACATTTGTCAGAAAGGAAAAGAAAGATTATTTATGCACTGAGAAGTGCAAAAAGGTTTCTAAATATTGTAGGACCATAAACACATTCTTAAATACACTCTGCAGCAACATTCAACTTAAACTACTTTATCCATTCTTCATTACCCTGAAAAAATATACTTCAACTTTCTGCATTTAAATCCTTTGTATGAGTAACAATAGAAGTGCTGAGTGTAATATATAATTTGGATATATACCACAGTGAAATTACTTTTATGCATACATACAGCCTCCTATGAATTTCTTAAAACTTTTAAGCTTTCTAATGTTGGATATTCTTTGCATGAAATCCCTATACTTCTTGAGCATTGCCTCACATTGGCAATTGATGCATGTAACTTTTAGAATTTATTGTTGTACTTGAATATTTTTGCCTTGCAGCACTGCTCACAGTGTGCTTAAGCCTCTAGAGTTACCTATGAAAATATTTGAGAAAAAAAATATGAAGGCATGAATACTAGTTACACATTTAAAGATAACCAAACAAAATTTAGTCTCAGAATTTCTTCTAATCCATGAGTAACACTATTATTGAGAAACAACAACAACTCAACACATGCTTTATGACACTCAAATTTATTTGGCATGCAAGGGTTTCTTATCAAAGTTAAAACACAAGCCCATTGCCACAGCAACCAGGAAGCTGATTTTATATCTAGTATAAAACAAAAACCATGTTAGTATCCCCTCAAGCGTGTTAGAAAAAGCCAGGCTGTCTAAAACCTTCATGTCACATACAGTCATAAGGATGCAGCAACACTAATATGAAATATGTTACTGAAAGGGCGACATATCAGTCTATAACTGACTCAAAAGAAACAGCAGGTATTTTGGGGAAAAGACAGCAACCACATCTGCCACTGCCAACTGACAAAGAAAATCGTAAGAGCCTACCTGAGACAAGCGAGACTGTGTCTTTCTCCCATGAGACAACAGTGATGTATGCCTCCACAGAGGAGGGGATAATGCACTTGAACACTGCTACATTGCCTCTCATGGCTTTCTGGTCCTCCACACGGACTGTATAGGGTTCCCGTAAAACTGAAAAGAAAGGAGTAGGTTCCATTAGCAAGTCATAATCACACATCCCATCTAATACTAATTTCCCCCATCAAGATTCCTCAGGTTGTGATTTTTTTAAACGTGTTTAAATGATATTTTTGCAAGACTAATAGTTTTGAGAATTAGTACAAAAGCATTCCCAGATGTTTCTATTTACTCAGAATCTGTATATCTGCGTTCCCCTCCTAATTCTTGTAACAAGGAGAAATAAATATGCAGCTACTGCAAAACTCTATAGGTAAATTGTGTTACACCTTCTGTTACTTCTCTTGTCTCTCATGCTGTATCTACTATCACAAATGGGTTTCTACTTTGTCCAAGAGTACAAATTACATGCAATTACCGTAGGTAAAAAAGGTATCCAAAGGATAGAAGAGAAGGTCAGTTCTCATCTTCAAAATCATTTAGGATTTTGAAGAACTGAGAAACAAAGGAGAAAAATCGATGGAGGTGACAGTCAGAAAAAAAAAGAAAAAACCAACAACAACAACAGTGTTTCAGAAACAGAGAAATTATAGCAGGTAAGATAGAACTGCATTCAATTGCCAGCACAGAGAGAAATAAGACAGTGATAAGAAAACAGCAGCTGTGACTAGGAGTTGTTTTAAAAACACATGGAAGCACTAAGATCCAGGATGTGATTTGACCAGCAAACAGAAGAATTATCTTAATAGCCAAAGAAAAGAAAAAAGAACAGGAAAAATTCTTCACATGAAACTAGCATTAATCAAAAGACATGAAGCTACATTGGTAAAATAAGTGGAAAGAAGGAAAATTCTAACACTGAAACGACACAATAAAGGAGTGGTGAAAATCTGTAAGCAGTGGTTAACAGAGAAGAAGGTAGAGCAGAGAAGAAGTAGTATCGCTTGTAATGGATAGCATCTAAGTGGGTAAGAAATGAAGGACAGGCATTAATGTAAGATCTGTACAGTACTGTAGGACCAAGGTGCAGGAAAAGAAATTACTACAGCCAACATATTTAAGGAGCTAGAGATAGTTGTCAAGTGAGGAACAGTTTCTGTGAAAACAGAGGTAAAATGACATGTGTGTTGAATGCATACATAGGTCTATGTAAAAATTATTAGCAAGAATACCAGAGCAGCAATATAACCAAATTAGCAATGTGAAGCTGCCATATTACAGTGACATTTCTTGCCCATATGCCCTGCCCACAATCACATACCACACTCTACCCATTACATTTAACCACATTCACTCTAGACTGAAGAGATATATGCCAGGAGCACTAGAATTTTTAAAGGTCATTCCTACTCAATGTCTTTAAAGAAAAAAAGTCAGCATACTAGAATGTAACTATTTTTCACAAATGCAAACAATAGCAAGTTTTCAGGACTAGTGCAACCACTGTGGAAAGAAAGACTGGAGTTCCCTCCCCAGTCTCAATCCTGAACAGGACATTAGGAGCACTAAAGAGAAGTAAATGCATTTAATGATTAACTAAATATCGCTTTAAATAAAAATCAAGGCAAATCCATCTTCTACAGTGTGATCATTCACTGAATTTGAACAAAAACAAAAGAGTCCATAGCTTATTTTGAATCAGAAATTAAATTTCTCAACTCCACTATAAGTACACTCTGGGCAGAACAGATATTACAAGCACCTTTAATATAATGATGTCACAACTGTGGCTGCCCTGGGATGAAGCAGCCTCTTAGTTATTTTTCATTTTAGCAGCAATACACTAGCACATTGCTAAAGGTCTTTTACTTTGAAAATCTGCCATATTTTAAATCTTACTGCCCAGCTGATCATTTCAGTAAGCAAATATAAAGTATCTGTGAGGCACAAAAACTAGAGATTTACTCATTTCTTCTTGAAAAGTTTACATTATTGTGGTTTCAGAGATACCCTCAGTTATTTCCAAAGATAAATGACCAGCTCCCATAAAAGATTTGCTGATCATCTTGAAAATCCCAGTTCCCCAAATCATGAGTTTATGTATTAGAAAGAAGGCTGAAATTCTCATACACACACACGCCCCCCCCTCTATTCCCATGCAGAATTGTCCTGGAAGAAGACTGAATTTGGGTTTGACTCTGGTTTTTGTTTTGTTGTCATTTTTTTTCTGCTTTGTTTTAGTTGGCAGTTTTCTTTTTTGATGGGAGGAAAGATCATTGTGTGTAACAGTTATATTAAAAAACACAAATACAATCATCTGCAAGCTTGAAATCTTATAAATGCTATATACCCTTAAATCTTATGGAAGTAAGTTAGTTTCAGGCTTTTGCAGGCTAACAATGAACTACTAGTATGCATAGGAGATTTCCTGAAAATTATATCTTCCTGTGGCTTCCTGTGACAGAGAATTACTCAAGGTAAGACTCACTAGTAACTATTATCTGCTACCAAGCCCAATGACAGCTGTGGAGCACAATACTAGTTCTTAGGAAGGAAGGAAACATGTTTGTTATCTAAGTTGCACACTATCCACATGAGGCAGCATCTCAAATGAATGGATCAAAAGGTAAGAGGCCAAAAAGAAGAAAGGGAGCTAAAAAAAAGTGAGTCAAGGAACTCTACCTATGCTGCTCCAAAAGTAATGCCTCCTACTTATTTTCATGGAAGCTACAACAGATACAAAGAGCACAATAACACTATTTGATAGAGCAAATTCTCAGCTACAAATACTACTTATCAACTTAGTTACCACCAGTAGCTCTGCATTCATTCAACAATGAGCAAGAGCCTCCATGCTCGTAGAAATCTGCATTGGTGGAGGTGACTTACTGCTGCTGTCGCTGCCTCTGAATTGCATCACCCACTGCCTCACAGTGCTCACATCCAGTGTTTGGTCTCCACTGATGTCCAGCAACCATCAGTGAGTGCTAATGGGTGCCATTTTTTCTGCACGGAGATATACAGTGACATGCCTTTGCTTTACACACACTCCCATGTCAGATCTTATTGTCAGACTGCCCCTCCGCTGCCATTTATCACATAGCTACAAAACATAATGAAATACTGGTGGGAAGTTTCAGCATCTATTTCCGTATCACCAATTTCCACCTGTGACATAATGGGCCAACATAATAAAATCAGAGGCATTATTTTTGAAGCAGAACTCATGCTTCTTGTAAAGCCTTTTTGCACATGCTGCTTCCATTTGGAAAGTTCATTTCTCAAGCAGAATAGGAAGACTTCTGGAGTTCCATGAAAAAATTGAAAGTTGTGCAACAGATATAGCCATATCTGTATCATTTATATTGTATGCTTCTCCAACTGAATGAGCATTAAATCATAGCTAACAATTATTTAAGAAATATAAATATTGGAAACTAATATTGCAAAAAAGAAAAAGCTGCCAAAATATTGTCATATATATATAGGAAAAATTGCTATCCCAGGTGTGGACATCAACTAATCACAAAGGACAAATATGTTCTCTTAAAATATAATTCTGCCAGATTATAACGCTAGCAAATCCAAAGCTAAACCAAGAGCTAAAAAAAAAATCTGATGAATCTGTGGCTTTCAATCTTTCTTTGTCTATGAACAAAGTATTTTCAGAGGAAGCATGTCTTTTTAAAAATTCCACATACATGTAACATGCAAGTTTGCTTATCATAGTCACTTCTTGTAAAAGAAAGTAAACACTATTTCACGCTAAACTTTGAATAAGATAAATTAAATTCTTAAAATCTTTTTTCAGTCTTACCTTCCAATTTCCTACAAACTACAAATATCTGAACATTAGTTCATTGTTAAAAGGAGTAGAATAAATCCCCACATAAGACTATGAAATCAAGTCTACTTAGTAACTGTTCACTGTTATCCCTCCATGAATCCTGTGAAGGCATATCTCAAAAGAAAAGACACTTCTGAGAAAAGACTCACAGCTCCACCACCAAAGGCTATAAGGATTTGCATTAGGCAAGGGTCAGCTTCCAAACCAGCTTTTATTTGTTTGAGTATTTTAATTAACTGAAGTGGGTAGACTAAACCTTCAAGAAGTATGCAATCATGCTTACATATTGTAGCAAAAAGCCTGATTTTGATCCCACTGTAATTCCCTACTTATTCACCCAGACTGCATACAGTCAGCATGACAAAACAGATACAAATCATTACGCTAATTTGCATGTTTTAGCTCAAACGCCAAGTACTGACTATGTATCAACACCCTTTGCTAAGTTATTATAAAGGACACAAGCTTCTCCCTCAAAAGACGACACAACTCAAGCACCCAAGAAGAGGCATGATCAGCCAAGCATTTTACTTTTTTTTTCCCCCAACTGTTACACAAAACCCAAAGATTACATCCTTATCTCCCACAGCTTTTTAATGAGTAAGCATGGTCTGATTAAAAATTTCATTTTTGGTTCATTTTTCCTTATGCTTGTTTGGAAGCTCATCTGATCGTGATCTTTGGAAAACTAATTTTTCAGCACTAAAGCAAAAACAAATCAGGAAGGAAAAAGAACACACTATTTCACATAATTATCATGAGGTTATTCTTCTCACCGTAACTCCTTTGACTCACAATTGCTACTATTTTTCAAAACACCCAAGTTTCCTCTCTCCCCAAGCCCATTTGAGACATGAAAAAGGCTGTACTTACCGGCCTTAATGTGAACATCCTGACTTCTGATTTTCCCTGAAGGATTTTCAGCTGTGCAATAGTAAGTGTTATCATGGATTAAGTTATTAAAGCTTGAAGGAGGGAAGGGGAAAATTTGGAGAGTGCCATTGGGGTGGACGTGGCGGATCCCTGGGACATCGTAGATCTCCTCGCCCGTTGCTAGGTACCATCTGAGCGTCACCGGGGGGATCCCTGCTGCTGGACAGGGTACCAATGTCCCTGTGGTGCTAGCAAACACTACCTCTTGCAGAGATGCATTGACAAAATATAGACTGGCGTGTAGATCTTCACTGAAAACTGCAAGACAAAAAAAAGGGGAAAAGATATTTTGAAAACCCAAACCACAAGCTATTTCTATTAGCATTTATAAATTCATATTTGCATGGCAAAATGATGTATGAAGTAATAACAAAGGTTGCACAAACAGTAAAAATTCACCATCATTCCTTAATAACAACACATACCATATTTCCAATACAGGTGCAACTTAGTAGACACATTATTTAATCGGTCAGGTATCTCTAACAGAGACTCTGAAGCAAAGACACGCTTTTTTTTGTAATGGTGATTCTGCCATCTGTGTGATGGTAGTCCCCCTCCCAACCAGAAACAGCAGATTTTGTCACACAGTAGGAAGTTACCATTGGTCAGAACACAAGATTAGCCCTCATTCTTCTGAAAGTTATTCAATAGGCTATTCAGCTATTACCCAGATAGCATGAAGATTCCAGACAGATTCCCTAACATTCCATCTGAATTATCTTCCTAATGCTCTTCTGCCTGAGAGACTACCAGCTTAAGTTTTTGTTTTTCAATAAACACTAGGTGACACTACAAACAATACCAACCTAATGTCCATTTGTATATAAAACTAACTACAGAAAACCACCAGTTTTCCTTGAGATACACAGATAAACTTACATACTTCACAGTATCTTGAATATGGTGAATTCTGACATGATTTACTCATGCAAGTCTGGTAAGAAGTTTTTGAAAACGTGTTTATAATGGATCAGTCCAGTGAGACTTTTCAGGGTTAGTCTGCTACTGTCCTCCAGAAATAACTGTCAATCTTAACATAAAGTCATGAAGTGAACTCTCTACCTCTGCCACTTAGTTTTATGGTGAGCTTGAAGCACAAAATGGACTATTTTCTCCTTCTCTCTCCAGACATTCAGAGGAAGGAGAGAAAAGGTGGGAAGAGATCATCTGATACTGACAGTGAGAAGAATCCATCCCAAAAGAGGCTGGGCTGACTCTGGGAAGCCCTAGAATGAAAGAAGTAGGAAAGACTCTCCTCGGGCAATAGAAAAAGACATCTGGCATAACAAAGACAGCTGAATAAATGGACATCACATAACAGTATGAAAGGCACTTGGAAAGTTAGAAAGGAGAAATTTCATGCACTGGAGCCAACAAGTCCCTGCATACAGATGAGACACATGCTAACTCAGAATAATTAAGTTCTTCCTACTTGGCTCAACTCTAGTAGAAACTTGGGTTTCTGGAAAGCAAAAAAAAAAAAGGCATAATAGGACTAAGCACAGGAGGAAGCACAGCTGAACAAGATGGTGCCACTTTTACTTATTACACTGCTAATTATAGATGTACTCTGAGGCAGAGAAGAGTATTGTTGGTAACATAATAGAGAAGTAAAAAAATAATATTGGCATTGCTCATCTGCTATACAAGCTATTATTTCCCTTGCATTTGGAAAGAATCAACAGGGCATTTTATTTTCCATTGGCCAAAAAGGCGTTTACGTAGAAGTAATAAATATAGTTCATAATGGCCAACTTTTATGCCATGCTGCTTCTCAAGAGACATTCACATTAAAAAAAAAATAGATATTCTGGCTAAGAATAAATAGGTATACATGAAATTCCAAATGGCATAAAAATAAAAAATAACAGGAGCTATGACTGACACTTCTACAGAATTTAACTATAATCAAAATGCAGAACAGCCAAACTAGAGATTCACACTACTAGCACGTAACAATGATTTTTTCCAGCTGTTTTGTATCTCTGGTGGAAGCTCTGAATACTTTTGACAAACTTTCCATCCATCAGCCTATACAATAGTGCTTCATTTTAAAGAAGCATCTGGTACACATTCATCTTAATGGCAGTCACAACCACACTAAGATCCCTGGAAAATAATTGCAGCACTATAATACACACACACACAGTGCTGACAATACAGATGCATTCTGTAGTGAAAAACAAGCTACTTAGATACATTCAATGACAAAAATGGGATTTCAGAATCCTTTAAGGATATTTCTCAGCAGTGTTCCATAGGAAGAAAGTTCTGTTATTTAGCTAACTACAAGTGATATATCAAAACTTAATTGAAACCAAGACAAGTCAAAGATGGTATGTAATTGTATGTTAATTAATGTTAAAATGCAATCCAATTAAACACTGTATTTTACAGTAAACAGCAGCAAGTGCAAACTAAAAGTTGCAATGGAGATTGACAGGGAAATCTGATGAAAGAGCTATAAAAGAGCAAACAAATAGCTGATGACAAAAGGAACTGTAAGAATAGAAAGGGAAAAATATATCAGACTGGTTCTACTAACTACCTAAATACTCATCTAAAAACAAGGTTTTTAGAGTGCTTTGTCTCCAGAGCAATGGCTAAAATGGCAAAGGCCCAAGCAAACAGGCATAGGTTTTTCCCTAAAGCCTGCGCTGCAGGAATGGACTCTACAGCACCACTGAGTCAGAATGGAAATGAACTGCAGTGGAATTTGATTACACTTGGCCTGGACAAAGAAACATCAGCACTTTGGAAAAGATTACATCAATTAGTAGTCAAGGGAAGGAATGTCAGAGATTCCTTCTGAATGATGACCCTTACAGGTCTCTTCCAACTTGGGATATTCTATGACTTTGTATTACTGAAACCAGTAACAGCTGATGGAAACAGCAATTCTGATTTTCAGCAGAACAAGTGGGTGTCCCAATGGAAACGTCAAGGTAACAAACAGTCTGCACCTGTAAGTATTTCAAGGCCATCAAGTGAAGACGTTTGCCCTTATCCATGTGGTTGGAGGTGCACATAAACAGTTTATTGATCTGATAGACACAGGGCAAGAAAAACTTGAATCTTAGGTCAAACAGATACCATAATCTTATTCCTACAAGAATGGGAAGAAAGGATGCACTTTTTGCAAGTTCGGTCAAAATTCCTTAGACTCAACTACTTGAAGCGATAAGGTGAACTGATGGAATATAATAGCCAAGGAAATTTCTCTTCATTTTCAAGGAGGACAGCATTGCCATGCTCTGCCTAGAAAAGTGCTGAATTCATCAGCAGGACACAAAATTTCTTTTAGCAGTTGAGAAGTTTCCTGTCAAGTAAACTGGCTTATTTCAAGGCAAGGTTATCAGTGGGGCTGCAAATCAATCACACTCAGAAACAGAAAGTAAGCCTGAGTGCTGTACAGCCTGCTAGTCTGAGTGGACATAACCAAGACTACACAGACATAGGTATAAAGATCCAGGCTGGGCTTAGAGTTTGCTGTGCCTGCACTCAGTGACTGAGTCTGGATTGGCTTTTTGTTACCTTTACTCTTACCTGGTATCTTTCCTTAGGCGTCCAGGACACTGCAACGCCTACATATACATATGCTGCATATTTCTGAAGGCCTTACATAAGATCCTAGCACATAGCACTTTGGATATTTCTGTCTCCAAAGGTATTGCTTGCCAAGGTTTCGCGATAAGTTGCTCAAGACAAAATAGGCTGAAACTGTTTCTTCATGATCTTCCTTTTTAGTGAGTTGAAGGATGTCACAAGATACGAAGGAGAAGATGCTACATAAACTATCATACTGGGTCAGGCTTGGGCTTGCTCTGTGCAGGACTGTGTGTCCTGGAGGGATCAGCACCAGCTGTAACAGAGATGAAAGATGACATGCAAAGGCAAACTTTGAAACTATCAGTTCAAGGAAGATCATACTCTTCTTTTTCTCCCCAGTTCTTTGTGTCTGCCTCCTCCAGAGTGTGTCACATTTAAGAATCTTCACCTTAACAACTTCAAAAAATGAAGACTTACTCAGATATTGGAGGTATCATAAGAAAATTTTCTATTTGTACGACTGAATGCCAGAACATATTACAGCAGCTTGGTGTTGTGCGTTTCCTTTTCACCATATTCTTTCTAGTTTTATGAAGTTCAAATAACATTTGTTATTCTTACAGCTAGCTCTTTATTCTTTGAATTCTTACTCAGCCCTATTTTCATATCCTGTTATGCATATGGAAACTATATTTTTATATATTTATATATATTATTATATATACACACACATATATAATATAACTATTAAAAGCCCCAGTTTTATCTCCACGAAGGAACTGTGGTACTTTTCAGTTCAAAAATGTTAGGAAAAAGTCTCTTAATGATTTGATACTTATATTTACATTGTTTTCCCGGCCTCATTCATAAACTTAATACTATTCTTGTTATGCTTATGGAACAGGAAAGTCTGGTCTTAAATTAATAGCAATTGAAAAAACAAAGGAAGATTTGTGTCTCCCCATCTCTGATTAATCACAAAAATGAAGATTATTTGGTGCAAGCTCAGCCAAAGATAGTATGAATGTGTTGCAAAGTGCCACACTAGTGAGCTGTGTTGCAATTCAGGATGAATTTTTTCAAGATGCTTTACTATATCACTATTACTGACCTGTTTTTGAATAGAAAGAGACAGAGAGAGAGATTTATTTTAAATGGAGAAGGACTGGGCACCTACAAACACTAACATTGTTATCACTACTCAATTATCAAGTAACAGGCTATGCAAAGTGACCTAGAGAAATTACTTCAGCTATCGTGGAAAGATCAAAGTAATGAAGAATTACAATAATCCATCTGTGATCATGTCTCCCTCTAGGGGTTTTAACTAATGACTGAAGTATAGAATAGCTAAATATTATAGATTTTATTACAGCAAGAGTAAAATGAACAACCTTTTGCAATTTTGGCTCAGATTCTGACTCCTCATATGCTTTTGAAAACTAAGAAGAATTTAACATTCCTCACAACTTTTTTTTTTGGAGAGGAAGGAAGGTAAAACAACTCATACAAGAATTAAGATACAAGTGGAAACAACACAGCCATCACACCCACAGTACAGCAAAACAGCGCTAGATGAAGATGCTCTGATCAGACTTCAAAGTATATATTACTAAAAAGAACTAAAAGGACTGAAGACAACACTAGAGAAAAAAATTATGAGAGAATGGTGAAAATACCTTGAATATGGAAAAAAAAATGAAATA